TATATCAGGGAGTCAGAGGGGGGTCACTTCCCAGCAAGGCTATCACAGTCCCGGAGCGAATAGCAGGTGGCCTTGCCAACATGCTAAGTGACCCAAGCTTGTTCCATGGTCAGGGGGCGTACAGTCGTGGCCTTGCCAGCTCACTGAACCGACTGGAAGCGATGCTCAAAGGTCAAGGGGCTCAGACGGGTCCTGGAGCCCCGCCGGGTCGGACTCCTCCAGAACTACATTCTGATATATGGTAAAAGGTTCATTATGATATCAATGATAATTATTGGTTACTAAACAAATATATCCTAAATAGTTACGGTTCTGGGTGAAGAAAATATAGCATCGAAAATAGACTCAATCACTGACCTTCTAAGACGTACAGTAAAGTTTTAAGTATGATAAAAAGGACAAAAAGGCCAAGAGATTCTTGAGAGCAAGAAAAAGCCTATTCAGTACTAGCTCAGAGGTGAGCTGAAATAAAAAGCCAGAGAGAATTCTAATGCCACTTATTTGATACAAGTTGTATTTAATAGCTTAAATACTAACTATAAAATTTATTTTCTCAATATACTTCAAGTAATGGCTAAAAACATCCTCAAAATATTATGTAAGAATTAATTTTACTGACAATTTTTGTCCATTATTTGATATGTTTACTGAGCTGATATGACGGTGCCTCTCCAAGGTGTGCTCTAGGAATAGCAGTAAGAGATACCAATAAATATTGTTCAATATGAAGTTCCCAGTATACTTACAAGATTCTGTCTGTGAATTTGATTAGTAAACTTCTGAAACAATTGTATAGCATCCAAAACTTCAAAATCCACTTAATTCTCACTAATACATGACTTCATACAAAGGTCTGTGGAGAGTAGAGATGAGTAAAACCTCACAAGTGATTCACTGTTCATGCCTGCATCGTATCTTCATTTTTTAAATCAGTATATACATGTATGCTAAGCAGTGATGATATGCTAATAAAATGAAATGTGTTCCTATCCTTGTAGAAATAATGTGTGAGGAACAGAAAGTATTAATACTTATGTCATTGTGATGCAATCAACTAAAGAATAAATTAGAAATATATAGTGTTCTGGTAACATTGGGGAGAAAGAGATGACTTCAGTCTCAGGTACGGGGGCAATGGGATGAGAAATAGTTCCAATGCAATGAGCTTTAACCAGGGCCTTGTATGTTAACTAGATATTGAAAGGGAAAACAAGAGAGGGGAGCTATATCTAAGTTCTATGGATGAATATACATATAGACCTAGGTAGAAGTAGAGAGAAAGAATAATTATGAGGATACAAATATAATAGTGATATGATACAAAGGCAAAAAAACTAAAGACTTAATAGAAGTAGAAGATGAAACTAGTTTAGAATTTATTAAGAATAATATATTTTAGATTAAAATGACTTAAATTGACACTAATATGCTTGACTTTCATAGAATCTAAGCCAGTAACAGCCTCTCAGGAAATGTCCAGCACAAACGGCACTGCAATAACAGAATTCATTCTGCTGGGGCTCACAGACCGCCCAGAGCTCCAGCCTCTCCTCTTCGTGCTGTTTCTGGCTATTTATCTTGTCACTCTCTTGGGCAACCTAGGCATGATAGTGTTAATCAGACTGAATTCTCGCCTTCACACACCCATGTACTTCTTCCTCACTAACTTGGCCATTGTGGACTTGTGTTACACCTCGAATGCAACCCCACAGATGTTGACTAATTTCTTATCAGAGAAGAAGACGATCTCCTTTGCTGGCTGCTTCACACAGTGTTACATTTTCATTGCACTTCTCCTCACTGAGTTTTACATGCTGGCAGTGATGGCCTATGACCGCTACGTGGCCATTTGCAACCCCCTGCACTACAGTGTGAGGATGTCCAGGTGCGTATGCATCTGCTTGGCCATGTTTCCATACATCTATGGCTTCTCAGATGGGTTGCTCCAGGCCATCCTGACCTTCCGCCTGAACTTCTGTAGATCCAATGTCATCAACCACTTCTACTGTGCTGACCCACCACTCATTAAACTTTCTTGCTCTGACACTTATGTCAAAGAACATGCCATGCTCATATCAGCTGGCTTCAATCTCTCCAACTCCCTCACCATCATCCTGGTGTCTTATGCCTTCATTATTGGGGCCATTCTTAGGATCAAATCTGCAGAGGGAAGGCACAAGGCATTCTCCACCTGTGGTTCCCACATGATGGCTGTCACTCTGTTCTATGGGACACTCTTCTGCATGTATGTCAGACCACCCACTGATAAGAGTGTTGAGGAATCCAAAATCATAGCAGTTTTCTACACCTTTGTAAGTCCATTGCTTAATCCATTGATCTACAGTCTGCGGAACAAAGATGTCAAGCAGGCCTTGAAGAATATCCTCAGGAGAAGTATTAGCATGACAATGTAATGTTTCCACTTTACAATAAATCATAACTCTATCCTTTGGCTAAAAATCTTGGAATATAATGATGAGTTTTCATACTTTTTATGATTATGTCCAATGCATGTCAGTTAAAAAGTTTATCCTTGTGGAAAAAATGGGTGACACTTATTTTTCTTAATTTTCCCTTCAACTATGCTTCATTGGCCAATAGCATATCATTTCCTCAGAGTTTGTCAGAAATGCAGTAACATTCAGTCCTTCAGACTAATTACATCCAAGTCCACGTTTTAATTTAATCCTTAGGTGTTTTATAAGCAAATATAGTGGGTTTATTTTGATTTTTTAACAATTTCTTAATATTGTAATTAATGTGAAACATTAATTTTAAAGTGTCATGTGAACTAAGACAAAATACTTGTGGAAGAATAAGTTCATTCAGTAAATTTACAGATCATGTGGCAGGTTTGGAGGTCTCTGTTGAGTGTTGTGCATATAGTGCATATAAAATAGCAGTTCCCTCTTTTCCTTAATAATAGTCTGTAAAAGAAGATTTTGGGGCCAGCAGGTGGCATGGTGGTTAAAGGCACTGGACTTCCACCTGGCCGACCATGTTTCCAGTTCTGGCCCAGGCAGCTTTCTTTCTCACTTTCCTTCTTCTCACCCCTTTCTCCCACTCTTGCTCTATCCCTCTATGGTCAAATTTAAATCAATAAATAAAGTTAAATAAAATATTTTTTAAAAAAGAAGGTATCTCTTAAACAAATAAACTAAACTGCATTTAAATTTAAGGCTGTATGTGTCATAATGAAATAGAATAAGGCAATGTACAAGAAGACAACTATGATGAGCAGGTAGAAGTAGTGTTGTCTTGGAGAATGACATTTAAGGTGACATTTAAAATATGTTTAAATAATAACAAGAGAAAAATTGGGGGAAAGAGCATTCAAAACAGCAGATAGGCCTTGTGAAATTTTGGAGTTTAGAAAGAGCTTGGCACTCAACCAGCATGAGTAACCTAATGAATGAGGGAGAGCGTGATAGAGAATGAAAATGTAAATATGGACCACAGCAAGATCTTTCATTTCATTCTTTGTTATTTTTAATTGCCAAATGTCATGCGTGCTCACAGGACAGAAAGAGAGAGCCAGAAATTACAACCCTGTCCAGTGGAGTGTGGTCACACTTCAATCCTTTTCTTTTATTTCCCCATTCCAGCAGGATTTTGAGAACATATCCAAATGTAGTCAATGTTTTTCAATCTTCCAGGTCCAGGATTTGAACTGCAGTTGGACTTGTGGTATCTGATTTACTGCACACAGTGGTTAACCCTACACTATGGGGTCAGTTCGAGCTTTGATTTCACTATGCTTCCAATAAACCATTCATGTTTCTCTTTTAGCTTCATAGCCAAAAGTTTAATCTATTTTTTAATAATTATTTTATTTATGTATTATTATTATTTCCCATGAGTTTTGCCAGAGAAAGACAGAGAAAGAGAGGAGAAAATGGAAAAGCAAGTCACCAGGTCTGGGACTCAAATCATTTTGGCCATTTGGGAATTCCAGTGTCTTAACCACCATGCCACCTGCTGGCCAAATTTAAACTATTTGAACTCATGTACCCTATCTTATTTACATTTGTATCTAGCTCTTGGATGAGTAGAAATGAAATCCTTGATAAAAGAAAACAGAAAGATATTTTTACCTTTGACTTGCTTTTGAATGTTCATAAATGAATAACATAGTGCTAAATTACATGCTTATCACACTTTCTGTAAACTATTACTTCACCACACACAGACCTAACACCTTGAACTACCTTTACTACAACTTACTGTGCACGTGGTAATCTCCAAATTTTGCTTACTGGGCTTTATAATTTAACTACTTTATTCTAGCCATTTATGGAAGGTGTGGTGAAACAAACAATTCAGACTGGTAAGGAATCACAGAAACATCAAAGTTCATGAATTTAGTCATTATTTATATTGTTAATCATCTGACTGGAATAAATTGTGATCCAAAATGCAAAATCCCATGAGGATAAACTCTTGATCACTCAAAGCAATCAGTTCAAAGTGATTGCAAATTGATGCAATCACATTGCCCAAATCCCAAGACTCCAGTAAGTATGAGTGTATCCCAATTATCACTCCCCCCCGCCTCCCGCCCGGAGTTATCTTTTGTAGTAACATTGTAATTGTTTCTTCAGGATGTGTTTAAAAATACCTAAGGGATAAAACTCCAAATCACAAATTGGATATAAATCATTTTCAGCAACCCTTTCTTGGACCACTAGTGTCTCTGAGATAATCTTTCCTGGGGTCAGGTAGGAATGAAAATTCTTATTTTTATACTTACATTTGCTCTTCTTGTTTCAGCTTGTATCTTTATCAGTGGAAGTCAGTTATCAACCAAAGTAACTTGGGGGATTATTTTAGACTCTTAGCCAGTTAAAATGAGTTATCATATATTTATTTAGAGTAGTCACTAGAAAATATTAAAGTTTTATTGAAATTTTGTATTTATAATTATCATCGTATTTACAAACAGCATCCTCACCTTTTATTCACATACTTAACACCTTGGATAATCACACTGGAGTAAACATTTGAATTGATCATTTACCAATATTTTTAGAATAATACATATTGAAAGGATAAAATTTCCTATCACCCCAGCAACAACAACATAAAAGCCTTTATCAAAGAATTTGAGAGACACATTTAAGCAGAAATCATACTCATTCTAGCAGAAATAAAACCTCTATAGATTTAAATTATTTGAAAAAGGAAATTTGGAGCCAAATTTAATGTTCGTTAACATGTACATGCTTAATAACTAGTGTAGGAATGGTAAATACATGAATACAAAATCAGAACGTTAGAAACGATGTGCCAGCCGGTGGTGTGGGGTTAAGGTGCTGGACTCCCACATGACCAACGGTGGCTTGAATCCTGGAACTTGTGGCTTGAAAATCACACTTAAAATCTGTGCCTGCTTGCCAAAAATCCCGAGAGAAGAATGGAGGAGAAGAAATGAAGGGCTTGTGGTGTGGCCATCCTCTTTGGGGAGGATTTCTCACTTTCTTTTCTCTCTCTCTCTCTCTCTTTCTCTCTCTCTCATAAATGCATATGCCCAATGCAAACACCCCACCCCCAAGAAAAGATAGATATTTCACAAACTCTTAGGGCAAAGTCTTACATTAAATACTCCAGGATTCTGATCTCTGTATCAAGATTAAAAAAAAAATTCTAAATGAAGTCCCCAAAATGATTTTCATAGATAAGTCCAAAGTTAAAATACACATGACCTAGAATTAATGTTCATGCAATACAACCAGGTAATGCCCTGCTCTCATATTTGTGAGACATTAAAATGGAAATCCATGAAAGAGGAACAATGTTAAAGTCTATTATGGCAGAATATGTAAGGAAGATGCTCCCTCCTGGAAAACTGAAATTCATAGTAGATGCAGGATTCCCCCTAACTTAGCTACCTTTGTTTTTATATCCTGTCTTAAGATATGATTATTAGGTTAGCCAGTAGCATGGCAGTTGAAGTGGCTGGATTCAACATGGCCAGCTCTGAAGTTCAAGTCCAGGGCCCAGTGATTTGAACACCACACTGGGACCCCTTGAAGGTGTTTTCTCACTTTCTTTTTCTCTCTCATGCCCATCGTAGCTTGTTTCTGGGCTCAGTCATTCAAATTAAACTTCAACAACCCTTGGTTCTATTTTCTGCAGCCTTTTCCTTGGCCCCAATCTCCCTCAGTCTCTCTCTCGGTCCATCCTGCAGGACAACATAATGGTTATTTTAAGCACATGAAATAGTTAGTAATTATGTCAGAGGTTCCTTGCTATCCTGCTACTTCATTGTAATCAGAGCCTGAGGAGGGTAAACTTATCATCCAATGAATATTTCAACAGGTCATATTCAGGTACCTCTGACATGTGTAAAAGTGAGTTTTTTAGTTTTATTGATTTATTTTCTTCTTCTTTTTGAGTTAAGAAGACAGAACATTTTAAGAACTCAGTTTTATCCAAATATTTTTATGTCTACCAATTATCCGTAATGTTCTTCTGGTATACTATTCAGTGGTAGAAGCAAATCTACTGACTACATTATAAGTAATACTTCGTGGTTTTTGCATCTTCACAAAATAAAAAATGAACATAGGTGGATGTAAATACCTAGACATCATAATCAATGCAAACATGTTTGTGTTGACTTCATATAGATTATGTTTGATTATACTAATCCTGGGGAAAGTAATTTGACATTATTGAATCACTAAAGCTTTATGTGAAGTTTTACTTTTATTTTATTTATTTTTTTTTTTGGAGAGGTTTTTGCTGTAGGGCACCTGCACTTGCCAGCCAGACAGAGAGAGACAGAGAGACAGAAAGCAAGAAATAAACCCCCACAGGGGATGGCCATGCTGCAATCCCTTCTCCATTCTCCTCTCAGGATCTTGGGCACGCACGCACACGCGCCCAGTGTGAGTTTAAGTCACCGGGTCCGGGACGCAAACTGTGGTCGACTACGTGGGAGTCCAGCGACATAGCATTACGTTAATTGCTGGTCCCTGTGAAGTTTTATTTTTTGCAAGTTGGAATACAAGACTTTTTTTGCTTTGTTTTGTTTTGTTTTTGTCATAAGATTTGTGTGCTTGCCAGAGAAAAACAGTGAGAGGGAAAGTGAGAAGTCGCTCCCTAAGGGGGATGGCCTTGTCACAATCCCTTTTCCTCCATTCTCTTCTGGAGATTTTGGACATGCATATACACGTGCCCAACATGATTTTCAAGCTGTCAGGTCTGGGACTCAGACCATGGATGCTCATGTGGGATCCCAGTGACTTAAACACTATGCCAGAACATAAGTCTTTTAGAAACTCATTGTTCTCTGTTTTGATTCAAAATTTCCCACACATTTCAGATAGGACACTGATGTCATAAGAACACCTCTGTTTATAAGGTATCTAGCTTCCTCCCACACTAGAATATTTTCTTTTGTTGTTGTTTT